TGGAGCATCCAGATCCAAAAGGCAGACGGCACCACAATCGAAGACTCAGCCGATATCTTTGTCAACGCCAGCGGCGTGCTCAAGTACGTGGCATTCTTCCCTGATTGTTGTATGTCTATGACTAACGCGAAATCTGCAGCAAGTGGAAATGGCCCGCCATCAAAGGCAGAGAAAATTTCAAAGGCAAGATGATGCACAGCGCCAACTGGGATAATAGCATCGATCTTACGGGCAAGAAGGTTGGCGTGATTGGTTCTGGTTCTTCTGCAGTTCAAATCGTTCCCAATATCCAGCCGAGTATGTCTTTTAACAATCCTTACCCAAGATTTCCACAAGAAATCAATCTGACAAGTCTGAAGTCGTCGGTAGTCTGAGTTGTTTCATCAGAAGTTCTTCCTGGGTTGTCGGCGGTTTCGGTCAGCGCTTTGCTGGAAAGAAGGGCAGCAACTTCGAGTGTAAGTCGTCAGGTCACAACCCAGAACTCTTGACAATCTTCTGACGCATGTAACTTCAGACAGCGAAGAACAACACGAGATCCTTCGAAAAGACCCCAAGAAATACCTCGCATACAGGAAGAAGATCGAGTCCGAGTTGAACTCCCGCTTCCGCTTCATTCTCAATGGTTCAAAGGAACAGGCCGATGCCAAAGCGGTAGGTTCTATTCCAGTTTCATCTCCCCAGATCTTTGATTGACAAGTCATAAGTTCGCGGCCGAAGATATGCGCAGCAAGCTCGCCAGCAGGCCGGATCTCCAAGACCTCATCATCCCGAAAGACTTCGCCGTCGGCTGCAGGAGGCCAACTCCTGGAAACGGATACCTCGAGGCGCTCTGCGAAGACAACGTGAACGTCGTCTCTTCAAGTATCCAGGAAATCACACCCAACGGAATGAAGACTGCAGATGGAGTGGAACACGAGTTCGACATTATTGTTTGCGCTACGGGCTTCGACGTTAGCTGGAGGCCGCACTACCCTACGATAGGCCGCGATGGCGTTAGTCTCAGCGAGTACTGGCGGGATACACCAAACACCTATCTCTCCATGACAGTTGCCAACATGCCGAACTACATCAGTCAGTCAACCATCCTCCTCTTGAGTCTAATGCGAGAACTGGGGCTAACATCTGCATCAAAGTCTTCAACGGTCCTTACGGTCCCTACGGCCACGGAAGTTTCCTCCCCATCACCGAAACGGTGGCGAAATACGTGATGCAAATGCTCCACAAGATGTCAGAGGAAGAGATATCCTCCTTCTGCCCAAAGCAGGAGGCCGTCGACGACTTTGCCGAGCACCGGCGCAAGTTCCTGCCGCGTACGGCATGGACCTCACCATGCCGATCCTGGTTCAAGAGCGGCACTGTGGACAAGGAGCCCATGATGTGGCCAGGCTCGCGTATCCAGTTCTTCGAGACAATTGCCACACCGCGCTGGGAGGACTACGATCTCAAGTATACGACGAGCAATCGGTTCGGATACTGGGGCAACGGCTTTGCGCAACGCGAGCAGGATGGCCGAGATTTGACCTGGTACCTTGGACTGATTGATGGCGTTGATGAGCAGCCTGCGCTGCCTGACGAGGATTTTGAGGAGTTTCTCATGAACAAATAGAATGTGGATATAAATACCGTGTTTGAGTAATTGAAATAATTTAACGCACAATCCTTTCCAACAGGTTTGTTATGTTGCCTGCAGGTCAAAGATCAGTGATTCAGCTAATTCGTAGTGACTCTTTTGCAAGCAATTGTTCTGATAATTCTCTTCCTGTTGCGATTGTGACCCAGAGCAATTGCTTGCAAACCGGCGGTCTCTTTGTCCCGTTGAGTGCGAGATGGCTTCAACACAAATATGCGTAGACTTACGAGGCGTCGTAATGAAGCCTAAGTTTTCCAAGCCTCCTCTTTCTGACATCCCTGAACAAAACTTCATATAAGGAGCCTATATAAAGGTTTGGAAAACAACCAAGAACGTGGTTTCTGATCCCATCGAGCGCTTGATGAATCTATCTGCTGTTTTCAAAAGTCGATAAAAAGTGTGTAATGCAATTATTCCAGGCTCAGTCTAATAATGAACTATATCACATGCTTCCCTACGATGTGCGGTATCAAGACTGACTGGCAGCTTGCGGAGTCAAAGCTGACAGGATTGAGTTGGTATCACGCAGTTATTTGGCTCAATCATACACGAGAGATGTAATGTATGGTGTCATAAGGATACGGGGTGGCCGGCTGGTGATGCATGTCCATTCTGTAATAATTCCTGGAGATGGAAAAGACATGTCTGCATTTACCTTTTCAATCTCAATATTCTAGAACATTACAAACTCAAGCCGGCAAGTATCTCAATGATAAAAGTGAGCCAGTGCATCCCTCTATGGCGCTCTCAGACAAGAGTACTTGACACTCCTAAAGAACATATCGGAAGGCAGGCTGCTCAAAATCCGTCAAATCCAAAAACTCAGTTCCTGATTCGATGACCTCCGGCTCCTCCGCCGCCTTCTTATCCCGCCGCTGGTTTTCCCAGATGTTGACAAGCCGAATAGCAACGATGGTGCAGGCGGCAAGGCCATACATGATGGCGACCATGAGCTTGCCGTTGTGATAGTTGGGCGCTTCGTTGGAACGGAAAGTCTGCGGGCCGATCCAGTTACCAGCTCCGTAAGCGAGGATCTGGAGTCCGTTGACAGTGGCCTTCTTCGTGTAGCCGAGAGTGTTGTTTGAGATCATGACCATGACGAGGCACCATGATGAGCCCGCGGCTCCGATGAGGTAGTAGCCGACGAGCAAGGCACCTTGAGCTGAGAGGGGGATGACGATCATCATGATGCCGCCAATCATCGGGATGAGGATGGCGATGAAGGCGAAGAGGGATCGATCCATGAATTTGTCCGAGAGGTACGTGAAGAGGAGCTTGCAGGTAATATCAACAACGCCTGTGGGCATGTTGAGAAGGAGGGACAGGCGGGAGTTGAAGCCAAAAGAGTTGATAATGATGGATCCAAAGGCAGTGATACCTCCGTTGGGGATGTTCATGAGCAGCGAGAAGAGAACGTAGAGGTACGTTCGGGGGTCCTTGAAAGCCTCGTAAAACTGATCCCACTTCCACTTGCGACTTCCGATACCCTGGAAATTGCCACGGATGCGCTCGATGGCAATTGTCTTCTCTCGGTGGTTGAGGAACTTGGCATTGGTTTGGTTGTCGGGCATGAACCACCAACAATAGACGCCAGTGATGACGGTAGGCAAGCCAAGGACCAGGTACAGAACCTTCCAAGTTGCCAGGACTGTGTTATGGGCACCAGAAAGGCCGTAGGCGATGGGACCAAGGGTCAACAGGGCAACACCATTGCAGCTGAGCCAGTAACCCATGCGCTTTGCCTGCTCGTTCTGCTTATACCACGCCGAGGTCAAGATGACGAAAGCTGGTGTCACGGTGGCTTCGAGGGCGCCGAGGAAGAAGCGGACCGAGAGGAGGCCGGCGTAGTTGAAAGCGAAGACGTGGCAGACTAGGACAACACCCCAAAGGATGATGTTGGCCGATGTGTACTTGCCGAGAGGCAGGCGTCGAAGGAGATATGTCGTAGGGAACCTTGAAGTAATCAGCAACATAGTCTTTAGTTCTGAGATGGTAATGAAACTCACTCCCAGAGGAGGTAGCCAGCGTAGAAGATGGAAGAAGCCCAGCTGTACTCCTGACTTTTGGGGTTGAGGCCCGTATCCTCACGAATGCCCATCAACGAGGCATAGTTTAGGGACGTCTTGTCAGCGAATTGAAGAGCATAAATCCACATCAGAAGGGGCAAGATGGCTCTGTCAATCTTCCATAGGACTTTTCGTTCCTCTTCAGGGGTGAAGGTGACTTCCTCTCCATTGGCAAATGCCAGGGCCGGATCAACTTCGCCATGCTTGAGCTTCTCCATGCTGCCGTCCTCGAAGTCGGTATGGGTTCGGATGACATCGCCACCGTCTGGCTGTGCTGTCTTCTTGTTGATTTCAGAAGACATTATTGGGAATTTTGACCGAGTGAGGTACTGATGAACGGTCTCTGTAGTGGGTGTCTGGAGATGCGCTGGTCGAAGACCCTCACGACACAGGACTTCCTCTTGATATGTGAGAGTGAAAGAGAGGGAAGGTCCAAGTAGAGGTCTACCACAAAGTCGAAGAGCCAAAAGTTTTGTCGAGGTTGGCCTGATCAGGTTGGAAGTAGCTAAAAGCAGATGCCAGGAGGTCTCAAGGGGCTGGTTGGGAAAGCTCGGGGTTTATAGGTGTCCTGTGCTGAGCAATAGCAGCAGTAAGTCCTCTCTTTCTCATCTTCATTGAGGCTGATCTTGGAGCGATTGGCATGGGGTGGCCTTTGTGGTAGTAGCAACCCCAGCTACGCTCGACTTGAGCGTGGCTTGGGCTGGTTATCGCTGAGATAGGGGATTTTCACATCAAGGTCGGTCATGCTGCTATCTTGGATCCACCGTCGTCTCATGCATGCCAACGGAGCTCCGCCCCCGCATTTTGAGGTTGGCCCGGTCGACGCAGCGAGCTCCGCAATCTTGGGGTACGACGGGATGAGACATCCATATCCCGGCTGAGTGCCGTTGCCGTTATCTCCGAGTCTTTCCTCGCTCCTTGACACACACTCTAACACATGGCGCTAGATAACATGACAGTTGTCTATGGAGCTAGTATCCAGCTGGATGGATCAGCGGAGCCCCTTTCCCTCTCCCCGGATCCGGGTCAGTAGGTCATGGTTAGCTGGCTTTGTGGGATATGTACACCTAGTCATGTAATTTGGAGTGACGCAAATCCCTATACCAGTAAGCTGTCTGGTGTTACTGGGAAAGGTTTGGGCTATCCGTGATATCTGGTTGTTCAATATTGAACTTTGTAGAGGTATAAGGGGCAGTGAATCGTCAATCATGACAGCAGGAATGATTTCTTGCCTTCGTGCACTATTTTGACAAATTTTCCGTCTGAAGAACGGTCCAAGTGACTGACTTCAAAGACAAATTCATCTAATTAGACTGCCTGCTATTCTCGTTCCAAAAAGGCAATGAGGCTTCGAGCCGAGCTGCACCATAGATTGACGAGCTATCCAATGATTCTCCTGCATACTTCCTAGCGGCCTCCATACGGGACAACGCTGTTTCGATAGTCGGTATTCTTGTACCATGCTCCTCGGCGATCCTCACCGCGTGTCCGGCATCCTTGGCCGCCAGGGACACTGCGAAGCCAGGGGGTGTCCCCAAGGGTGGCGCGTATGCGCCCGTTGTCATGCGCTTCGAGTAGCTCTCGATAACAGGGCCGTACATGTCCCTGATGAACTGTTCCATCTGGCGGGTACCGAGCCCGGTTTTCTCGGCAAAGACTTGCGCTTCGGCGGTCAACTCCTGGAAGCCAATGACAAAGATGTTTCTGTTCCAGAAAGATGTGATTAGTATTGTGGGCAAATTACAATCTCGGACCGATTTGGTCCAACAATGGCCAATAATAAGACGCAAATGCTCACCCTGATATCTTGAGCAAGCTTGATTTACGGACATCTTCGCCCATATCTATTATGCTTTTTCCCATGACACCAACCACAAACGGCCTCAGCTTTTCGATAGCAGTGGGGGGGCCGGCCATGGCAAAGATGAGCTGACCAGCCGCCGCCATAGGGCTAGCTCCAAAGACAGGGGACGCAACGAATGTAGCGCCCACTTTAGCAAGACGTTCGGAGCACCTCGCTGCAGTATCTGGATGGACTGTTGATGTATCAACCCATATCTTGCCTTCGAGTATGGCGCTGCTCCAAGTGTCGAGAGCCTTCGATACAAGACTGTCCAGGACCTCATCGTTTGAGATCTGTGATGGTCAATAAGCAATTGCGGAAATGCCACGAAATTACAAGCACGATTAGAAACTACCATTGTGAATATGACGGATGACTTGAGGACCAAAGTCTCGAAGTCTCGTTCAGGAAGTCCCCCGGCTTCCCGCAGAGATTCACCTCGCGAAAGCGTTCGGTTGCTGTACCGAAGAGGCGGTAGACCCTTCGATGCGAGGTGTTTCTGCAGATTCAGTGCCATGCCAATTCCCATGGACCCCAGACCAAACTAGAGTCACGTGTGAGTGAACAAGGGAATAATAACTATAGTAGGGGAAGTAATACCCATCCAAAATTATCCTGTGCAGCCATGATTTTCTTGGCGTCTGTTTGACGGGGACACAATCAACGTTGACTTTGTGTAGGATATAGCCGGTGGTAAGCCCCTTTAGAAGATTGAAACGACTCGGAAAATTCGGGATTTCACAGACTACTCCAGGTGACAATTCAAGTGCCTCTTGAAAGTGTAGATATACAGTTCGAGATAAGTGGTGGCTGCGGCGGAGCTCCGCAGCAACCCTAGTCCGGGGCAGCGGCCTACTCGCCGCGCGCTAGTCCGCACACCCTTACTCATAAGCCATACCACCTGCCGAGATGACCTCCTCGAGCACCGTTGTCATGAAGGACCCCATTGCCCAAACAGGTCTCCCCTTCCAGAACTGCAATACAGTTTCCATGAAGCGTACCTCGCTCGCCTCCGACGCCATGCCTAATGCGGTAGACTCCCGAACCGAGAGGCGCCGAGTTTGGCCATCAATGTCCTCTTGTCGCTGCAAGACTTCAAGGATGGAATTGAAGACAATGGTAGAGGCCTCAAACCGAGTGCGGACGGTCGGCTGGGTCCCTGACTTCCGTCGCATCTCTCCTGTTGCCCATCGCAGTAATCTCCATATTGCCAGGAGGATCTTGTATGTAGCCACCGTCGCCCACGGCGCTTCTCGCAACGGATCTTGCCTCTCGATGCTTGTCACACTTGACAGGACGTCCATCAGGTCATCAAGGAAGATCAACATCCCGTCATCGCCGGAGTTGTATCTGAGGAGGTTTTGCAACGATCTGCGAGCTCCAACTTGAAGTCCCATGGTGAGATGTGTCGCGGTGGTGAGGCCAGCAACGACGCTATTCTCCACGATACCACCAATCAGAAGATCATCGGGTTTGCAGAGCGCAAGCTTAACAGATAGCGCGATACGCTCAGCAAAGTTCAAGATGTGCCAGTTCGAGCTATCTGCCGCTGCGGTTTGCGTTGTGATGATCTCAGAGACGTATCGTAAAGCTGCACTGACCTGTCGGTTTTGAGATTGAGTGAGAATGTGGTACGCGTTTGGGTCGGCCAAAGCCGGTGGGAGTTGATAGTAGCACCGGGTAAAATCCCTGACGAGTGAATCGAGACTGGTGAGAACGAAGAGTGTTGCCATCGGCGAAGCACGTAGCGCCGCTAAAAGTTGCGGACTCGGTGTGTCCGTCATCAATGATTGCATGGCAAGGTTTAGTGATTTTGTTGTTGGGCAAGTCATGCCAGGCGTGTCGTGAGACCGGGTCAGTCCGACGGTTCGGGGTTCGTCTCCGAGCCGTTGAGCCCATGCTAACGATGTGTCCGCTTCCCATAATGATGAAGCAAGGGGCAGCTCCCAATCGAGCTCGGTGGGAGTGGTAAGCGGGCGAATGTTGCAAGGGGAGAAAATATGAAAGTCGAGAAACAGCAGAGTGTACATGGATAGCTTCATGGACTCCGACTCAACGTATGAAATCCAGTGATCGTGTAATGTCTGTTCTTCCGAGTCTCTGAACCTGGATGTTGACTGGAAAACGTTTTGACGGAGGAGACCGAGGTCTCGGGCGGCCTATTCAGGTCAGGTTAATGAGAAATCAGCCAGCACCTATCAGTATGAACATCTTACGTCTACAATCCATCGCAACATCTTCTTTGATTTGTCGAAGTCAGATGCATTGCCAGTGAAGGCCCCATAGATTATATGCAGGAGCCATGCTTGCATAACCCATGTCCTGCGGATTTCTCTCCAGTCCGCCTCAACCTAGCATAGGTGAGCATAGTACTAAAACAGTCAATGCTTGACTTGATATCGCAGTTCAGACTTACAACTCGCCAAAGTTCATCATGGCCATGATTCCATAGGGTTTGGCTCTTCCGCGTCAAAGATGCCGTTTCCTCCTCAGACACATTCCTAGAAGCATATAGCATGCCAATTGAAACGATGATCTGCTTCGATAACTTGGGTAACTCATTCCCTAGGCTTTGTCGATGCACAAGTGGGAATGATGGATGGAAATTCTCGAAATACGTTGATACGTAAGTTTCTGTTCCGCTCGTCATAATCCTGAGGAATCAGTTAGTTGTGAAATGAGACCGTATCTTTGGATAACCTACTCCGTCACTAGAAGCTCATCCGCGTCAGGCGCTTCTGCAGCTTCTGGTGGGCTGTTTGGGTAGATGGTGTCATCTCCAACTCCAGCGATAACGCCTTCCTGAGAAGTTGAAAAGGGCGAATCATCCTGGTCGTCTGGTGAAAGAGCAGTGTCTTCAAAGGCCGGTGCCGGTTGCTCCGCTCCGTTCTGAATACCGGCGACCATCAACACACGGCTGAACGTGCCTCTACATCTTTCGGCGTGTCTCTTGCACACATCCTTTCTGGTGAACCTGGCTTTACAATTTTCGCATTTGAACGGCCTGCGGCTATCGCTACCATGTCCTGGCAAGTGTGAGCTTCGCAACTTTGAAATTTTGGGGCGGACACATACTTGAGCGTTTATGTCGTTCCAAGTTTTCCTTTGACGTGTCTTAGTCACCGTGATTGAGTGGAGGTTTAAGGATACCTACATTTCTCGTAAATGTCTGCGTGCACTCTGTGCAGGTGAAGGGCCGCGAACTCATCATGGGCGCAATGCTGCTTTTGATGTTCGGGTGGACGTTGAGGACCCCGGCAAACGGAGAAGTAGCTAAAGGGGTGATGGGCCCGTGCGTCTATGCTTATCGATTCGTCTTGTTGCATACTATAACTGAGGGTCTGCCTATTGGCATACTCCTCTACACGAGACTCCTACGCCACACAGGCGAGGGCGGATACAATTAAAAATGAAGCCGAAACTTTATTTCATAACTTTTCCAATGAATAAATACTTTATTTCTTGTGATGAAACACTTTATGAGTCGTTATCAATCTCACAGACTCTACAGCCAGAGAGTTGTCAGTCTTGAGTCTAGATTCTTAGCGATTTGCGAATGAGGCGGGCAAATTCTCAGTTCCCCATAGGTAGAAGTTTTCAGTCATGAATGCATGAAGTATTGAGAAATACATCCTATAAACTGTGTTTCAAGGAGCGACTCAGCGATTAAGGTGTAAAGATCCGTCACGATGTCCTTTGTAAATTGTTGGGTTGAGTACCTACAGTTACTACTAAGTCTTCGCAGTTTATTTAGGTTTCACTCGAACGAAACTACAAAGGTAGGTAGCAAAAGGAGGTCAATTTTCGTCTCTAGAAAGAAGAAAAAATAACAAAGAAACGCTTTAGGCTCGTCGAGAGCTGTTTCGAAAATCCAATCACATCTCAAGCTTGATGTTTTTGTCAATAGCACCCGACTCAAACGTCCGAATCATAACTCCAGTAGCCGTATCATTCCACGCAGTTGTTTCTCCTTGTACGAATCCGCTACTTGTGCAGTAATCCATGATCCTTCCCGCAGTTCTTGCGATTTCCTGGCTATGGTTCGGGAGTATCTTGTCAGTCAAAGTAGCTTGGAGGAGCGAGGAGGCCTAAGTTGAGGACGAGAGCGAGCGCTTACCAAGTTGACTGGTGCAGAGATTTCTTGTTCTTCCTCCATCCGAGAATGAAAGTTTCACCATTTGAGCGGCAGAACCCTGTCACCTCCTTTTCCATAACAATGCACTTGTTGTCATCTTGGTTTGCAAGCCACTGAATGCACCAGGCGGCGTTCTCAATCTGCAGTACAGTAAAATAGAATGCAGACTGTCAGCCAGATGAACTGTTTTGTGACCCACTGAGATAGAGTGGATAGACATCAAGACATACCGGTGCCATATTTGTGGGGAAGCCGTTGCATCGAACGGTGTTGATATCAACGATCTTGCCACTTTCAGAAGTCTTGGATTTGAGGAAGACTTTATCGCGCTTATTTGATTGACTTCCATTGGATTCTTCAGACCAAGAATTGTTGTGAGGGGTTGTAGATTGCCAGCCTGTTGCGGAGAGTCGGATGTTAGCAGATAATTCAGCACCTTTCTTGGTCCCATACCACAAATTTACACGAAGTCATGGGTAGTTGAAGAACACACCGATGATGTTCCGAGATCTAATTGAAGCTTCTGCTGCCTCTTGAGCAGATATGTGCTGAGCCGTGGGGTTGTTGATAATATCATCAGCCCATTGCTCGAAGGTGAAAGGTAGGGACGAGCGTGGCGGACTAGGTGATCGAACATCAGTCGGAGCCGCAGCTATCAAAGGAGCAGTTGCCAGGGCAAAGATTGCAATTCTGAGTAGAAGAACCATCTTGGATAATTCTGGATGACGAGATGATCATGGCCTGTCGATACGGAAACGGAAGCTGTAGTGCTGGAATTCCAATCGACTGCCGAGATCTGTCCATATGTAGAAAGGGTAGAAGCCTGTTATATAGAGATGGTGGACCGACTGGACAACATGAGTCAAATTCTGGATGTCGTTTTGCTTTGACTGTTGATTGACCGCATTGGGACCGCAGTGTTCGTCGTGGTACTACGGTACCAAGATGCCCACTCCCTTGCTCCCTTGGCTCTTTATTCTCTTCTGCCCTGCGAGCCAAAGCATGTTTTCTAAAAAGGATTTGACACAAAGTCTCCTTTCGATTTAATCAAAGAGAATGCTGGAAGTCTTACCCCTTGATGGCGCCAAATGGCGTACAGGCCTTGGGCCACTACGTAAGCTGCGTGAAATTGAAATCACCCTCGCCTCAGGTCATCGATACCGTCAAGCAACACCTGATCTTTCAGAGCACTTTAGATAGCTTTGTCGTACCTACGAGAAGAGAACAGATTCGTTTCAAAATGAAGATCTGACGCTGTGGTGCCTTTGATATCTCGAAGAGCTGAGATCCTCCAGCTCGGCGCACTTCAATCAGTCAGGGAAACGCTCGTACCACTGGTAAATACATGGCGCTGATAGCATGGATACTCATGTGTAATCCATGCGACTTAACTTGTTTCCTTTGACTTAAGAACTTAACTCATAGATCGAGTAAGCCCTCATTCGCTCAATATCAATGTCTCCTTCTTCAGAGTGTGATCTTGCGATCCTCGCGAATATTTGTCTCGAATGTCACCGCTGTCACGGCCCCACCGACCCCACTGGCTCCGGCGATCAAACGGCCCCTCATCAATATCCCTGCCCGCCCGCCGTTTCAGGAGTCTCGGCCGCACCCTCCGATCTTGCACCAATCAGACGGCCACCCATCCCCCGTCAGGAGGCACCCCGCCACGAGAGCCACGGCGAGTCAAACCCAATTCAACACCTTACATGGGGTAGCTACCTCCCCTGATCCGGAGCTTGCCGTCCTCTTTTTCGCGCCAATCTTTCATCCTTCTCTTCGGATCTTGCCTCCTTTTAAGCTTCTTTTCCACCCCGACCACCACTCACTTGACAGGTGCCGATCGCATAGGTAGCGTAGGGCACATTTTGTTCTCACGAAAGCTCCTCACCATGTCTCTAAAGACTCTCTTGCCGTTGCTCGCACTTACCGGCGCGGGCCTGGGTTGGCAGCACAAGACCGAAACCGAAGTCCGTGATGCCCTCAAGGCGAACGAGCACAGCCTAGTAGCGTGTAAGTTGTACCAGTCTCACGAGACCTCTCTCCGACAGCATGCTGACGCCATGTACAGTTATTGAGGTAAGCCGAGCCTCTGGTCCTTGAGCTCATGCCCTTGCGAATACTCTCACGAGTTCGATGCCGCCGCCACATATTAGCAACGCGCTGACCTTAACAAAGCCCTCAACGTACGACATTCTGCACCTCTACAGCAACATTCGTTAACACGGACAACAGCGACGCCAGCACAGCCCTCGAAAAGCACTGGTCCGCCGTCGAAGATGCCGTCCCGGCCGCTCTTTCAGTAGACTGCTCGACTTCAGCCTCGCTCTGCTCCGAACACGACGTCGCTTCCTACCCCGCCATCCGCCTCTACCGCCAAGGCGGCATGAAGCACCACTACCGCGGCCCCAGAAAGGCCTCTGAGTATGTTCATCATCATCGGCCCCCCCTTGATCACCTCACAAAGGAGCTTCAGCTAAGCCGCCCGCGTCTCTCTTTTTGCAGAATCACCGCCTTCGTCCGCCGCATGCTCCGCCCCGCCGTGGTCCCTCTCGACAGCAAGGCCGCGAAATCCTTCAACAAGGACGACGACGTGGTGTTGATCGCGCACATGGCCGAGTCCGAGACCAGCCTGCGCGAGCGCTTCACCGAGATGGCCGGGCGCTACCGCGATCGCTACGTCTTTGGGCTGACGACGATTGACGAGGCGCCCGGGCGGATCGCGTGCTATAACAACGCCGACGGCGCATTCCACATGACGTCCGAGCTGGACGAGGTCGACTCGATGGAGAAGATGCTGAAAAAGTGCGCGTCGCAGCTCGTGCCGCGGTTGACGAGGAGAAATGAGGCCGAGTATTTAAGCGTCAGTTGGCAACCCTTTTGCAGTCTTACAGATGTTTTTCATGTAACGTCCAAGAGGCAAACTACTAACGTATGAGATGTTCACAGTCCGGCAAGTCGTTGACCTACTTCTTCTCGACGGTCGAAGAGAACCTAGACTCTTGGACATCGGCTGTGAAACCCATGGCGAAGCAGTACCACGAGTACATCACCTTCGTGACGGTCGACCTCGGCGAGTACCCCGATATGCCGTCGCTCTTTGGCCTGCCGCCGGATGCCACCGAGGGTGTGGCGGTCTATAACCCGGCTGTGGGCTTGGCGTTCCCGTTCAAAGGGGACAAGATCACGGTAGACGCGGTCGCGCAGCACATCGCCGATATCTCTGAAGGTAACGCGGATGCCTGGCAGGTGGGTGAGCCGACTGCGGATGAGGAGATTGTGGAGCAGGTCATGGAGGAGGTCCCAGTGAAGGGGCGAGACGGTTCCGAGGTAGAGACTGAGGAGACCAAGGAGGCAACCAAGGAGACTGGAGAAGAGAAGCCTGAGATCCACGACGAGCTCTAGGCAAGGGATCTTATCATGGGTGTGCGCTGATTACACTCAACGGCTGTTTCCGGGGTCCCGATCACTGGTCCGATAGTAGGACAACATCCAAGACATCGCTCGAAACAGAGTCGCTGCCCACTATTGCTGATCCGAAGAGAAATCAAAGATACCAAAGCAAGCCGGCTTGTAGTCTTAATGGAACTGATATCTGCATCCAAAATCTAAGGATTGGCATTCTCGACTTTGGCAGAAAACCAGTTGCCTCAAAGTCACAGCAGCAAACTTGGCTGCGTATGGCAAAGGAAAGAAGGAAGCCAGACAAGAGGATCAGCTGGCAGTGAAGGGAGTGGGTGGCAGCAGAGCCCGTCCGTCTTCTGCTTACCCAAGCCCTCTGGGCTAGGCGAATTTTACACCATCTTGAGCGCAATAGACGCCCTTATATAGAAACAGACATCAACGTCGATATGATTGCTTCGCGGAGCCGGGCACCGCTCCGTCGTTACCATTTCTGTTCTCAAGCCACCGAACAATGATCAGGTTGTACGTGAAAGCTGCTTCGGCGGCGACGGACTATGCCCCGCCAGCCAGCCTTCGTGGTAAGTAACCCCGAACACGCATCGCGCGCACCGCGGAGGAAAAGAACCGGAATGAGGGTGGGACGGACCTCCGTTGCCTGCCAGCGTAATACGTTACACAGGCCGCCAAAAAAAAAAAGTCAACAAAATCGCCACCATTTCGGAGCCGGATGAAGCTCCGTTAGGGGTTTGTCTACGTTGAACCAAACGTTCTTAGCACGTTGTTCGTTCTTGTTCCAATCAGCAACTCCAGGACCTCGTACAGTGACCCAAAGACCACTGTTTCTCACTATTCCCGTATCCAAGATTCGAGTTAGTCCAAGACCCTTGGCTTTCTCTATCCCGCGGAGGCGGGCTGCCCCTCCGCTGCCTGCCGCCGCCTCGGCTCTCAACTGAGTCAACTGAGTCAACTCGGCTTCTTCCTTGGGATCAACATCCCCTCTCCCAGACTCCAGAAAGGTTCGGAGCGGGCTCCGTGTTGATTTGAGCCAATCAGTTTGCTGAGCCGCGGAGGCGGACGAGGCCCCGTCTTCAATCCCAAACCGAGACACTAGAGAGAGAGGTGCCACTCCCGCGGTCCGCGGAGGCGGGCATTTCCTCCGTCGCGGCCGTCCCAAATCTCAGACTTCAGGCCTATAAGTTTCGCTGCTCAATCGGGACTAAAAACCCACTCTGAATCCTCCAATTTGTATACTCGGGTCACATGACGCGAGTTTTCTCAACTTCACGTCTACATCGCGATGCTAATTTCCAACTCAGCGGGCCATTCGAGCCCAGCTGACTCCTACCTTGCGGATTTTAGAGGAATATCTTCAAAGTAGCAGCAGTAGCAGCGGTTCGTCCTTCTGTAGCTTTTGATAAAGCAAGTGTCAAGAAAAGTCCCCAAACCGAATGCCTAGTCACTGTGCTCCCGCCATACCACGTATTCTTGCGATTCACGGTCTTTTCCATCGTATGTTGCATTCGATTGACCTGAACGACAAGAGGATGCAGATCCACTCAAACCAAGCACATCCTTCACGTAAACAAAATCGCCACAAAGAATCAAGAGACAAGAATTCAATACAATCACCTTCTGCATCGAGTATTCAACCCTGAACTCAACCCGCATTAGACTCAATTCCTTCCTTCTTGGCACCTTCCAGATTGTCAGCTCAGATAAGGCCTTTTCAAGGTATCTATAAAGCCCCGCGATCACCAGATTGCTGTGCCGCAAATCCTTCTACGCCCGAAGACTCCTTCAGCTCGCTTACTCAAGATACGAGAGCTTGAAAACGCTGTAAGTCTTTCGTATAAGACAGAGGGGTTTCTGAGAACCGATGATTTCACTCGTTGCCTTACTCAACCCCCTCCCCCGCTTCTTGTCAGCTCCTGGTGCCCCCCGATACTGTCAATTAAGACAGTGATCACTCGAGATTTAACGAATCCTATCGGTGGATGACTCCATAATAGGAATGTAGATAACATCCTCTCTCTTCATCACCTCGAATCTCCCAGCAAAAATGCCACATACCTTTGAATGCCAAACCTACATAAAGCATCACCAATTCTTTCAGTGAAGCACGTCAATCTCAAAGACAAAGGCACCATACTCCATCCACACAGAAGCCTAAATCCCACTTCTCCAAACACTTTTCCCCCCAAAAATCAAAATGCAGCTCAAATCTCTCTTCGCCCTCGCCCTCGCCGCCGCCGTCACAGTAGCAGCCGCCACCCTCGACAAGCGCGCCCCCACAAAGGCAGAGTGCTGCTGCTGCTACGGCGGCCCTTCCGTCGGCTGCGCCGCGGACCTCAACTGCGCGGGCTACACGCCCAGCATCGGCGTCTGCCTCGACACGCGGTGCCCGTTCAAATGAAACGGTGCGATTCGCAATGAGTAGTCTCTCGACTGGAACGGCGGATCTGTGCAGAAGGGGAGAAAAACAATAGGCTTGTGAGGACGGGTTTCCTCCAGAAGGCTTCGCAAGGTGCTGGGTGTGTATGCCGCCTAGATGGCCCATGGGGTGGTCTACTCAATTGTGTCGTTCCGATCCTTCCGGCACACGGAACCCGTTGCGAGGGAAACCCTGGTATTGTTCAGAGTAAGTTCCTCAGCTTTGGAGGAGCAGACTTGGGTGCCTTTGTTTCCAACTTGATAACTGTTCAATGACGTCATCAATAAAAGAACGCATTTCTCAAAATAATCTTTTATATTGGATCATCACCATGGGTTGCGTCGTGCTGCGACATCCAATATTACATGCCTGAGACTAGGCAACCATTTGCCTTGTCATCGGTATTCCGATCCTGGCGTCATCTTGCATGCGGCATCGTTATGTTGTCTGCCCTGCACGTTCGCCTCGCCCTGCCCAACTGCAGCGCCGGTTCCCAGCATGAAAGCCAACGACATCGATTTTTCAAAGTCTATTCAATATTTTTCTTACCGCCTGCTCCTGATACGCTTTAAGGAGAATAGAACATTGGCGTCGAGTAGTTGCGTGGCTAACCTAGAGGAAGTCGACTCAGGGTACTTGGCTTGACTGCGATAGTGCGACATCTTGGGGATATCGCTCTCGGCAACCTCAACCTCAGCCTCTCCAAAGAAGTCGCCATTCGTGCATTACCCAAATGATACATGTAGCGCTGTGTTTATCACTGTGTGCTCTGCGCATATCAATCAAACCATTGAGACACAGGCTGGATAGGCATCTTTGTCTGTAGCCTGTAGCCTGTAGCCTGTCTTACACGCTGTAGCAACACCTACTCCCAAGACCATCAGGGCTGAGTGCTAATACCAAAAGGTATACAGAAATACTCGTAAGAGCTCAAGGCCTGGATCCATCAGTGTTTACAGATGCCAGTATATACTTTCGAGCTTCTCTAGAACGCTGTGGACGAATGCTTTTAACATGCAAATGGCCTCGAGGGGTAGGCCTGGTGGTATCGCAGATAGAAGAAAGACGGAGGCGATAAACCGTAGGGTGTATGTGAACTAGAAATTGTCCACAGTAGTATGCATAAAAAAGGACGTTTCGCGATTATTTTGTCGTGTATGTCTCCCTCTCTCCCCCAAGTCCATGACCAGGGGGCTCGTGTACAAGCATATCCTAAGGTAGGTATCCCTAACCTAGTGGACGTAAAAAATGGATCTTCCTGTTGCCTCGACCCCGAATTTCGACCCCTCCAATGATATAATCTCTAATGGTATGTTTCCTCTAATTCCCCGTAAATCGCTCGCTAATCGCAAGTTTTCCGACGTTCAAAAATCGCCGGTCGAAAGTAGGCAGTGTAGACTGTCAAGTCTCTGGTAGGTCTTCAAATCTTGCGGTTGATGATGAGCAAGGTTCAGGATGCTTGCGGCTCGGCAGCAGCAGCTTCGTCTCGGCATCTTTGGCACATGCACCATCCGCCGAGACTTCCCTTTGCCCAAGCCCTTCGTTGATCGACGGGCATTGTTACGTCGCAGTAGTGGTTCAAGACCTCTTCACCAGCCTTGAGCCCTCCTGGAGCGCCGCCCACAACCTTTGTCTTCCGCGCCCAAAGTGTCATCTGTCCTCCCCAATCCCATGTGACGTTCGGATCGCAGTCGTGGTTGGCTAAGCACCAAAGGGGGTGTACTGCAGCGACATCGGGTCGACCATCGCGTGGGTTCTTACGGGCTGATGCCGTTCCGCGGAATTTGCTGTAGAGGGTATTCAGAACCCACAAATCGTGTTCTTGAATAGTGCTATAAATGTCGACGTCCATCTTTTCGAGGATGTGGAAGGGTGTCTCGATATTGTACTTGAACGAGAAGGGCAGCGTCCATTCCGGCGGCGGATTCGCACTCGGTGAGATCTCGATATCGTTCGATGCGGAAGGCACAAAGTCACCCCAGATGTACTTGATCTGTGTCACATCCAAGGGATGTATTTCTTGGTGGTTGGACATGGCCAAGACACGCGCAAGAAGAAGCAGGTGTAGTGTCTCATCGGCTTCCGAAGCTTCAGGGTCCTTGGCGATGGCGTCGACATCCTTCTCGCATACAGCAGGGTGGTAAAGTTCTTGCGCCATATCGTGACAGTGTTGGCTACAGAAAACTGTGTCGTAACATTCGTCGCAGCTGACAGCGGCCGGCTCGCTGCCCAACGGTGGCAGTTCCGCACTACACGCATCGCAGACTGGTTCCTTGAGGCGATTATTGGCGGTCAAAAGCGAATATTCTTCCAAGACGGCCTCTCCTGGCGCAATGTCTTGCGTCGCAAAGAGGCCCAGCTGATTACAAGTGGGTATGATATCGTAGTCATCCATATCGCTGGCTGCCTCCAAAAGGACCGGGAGCTTAGACAATTGGACCGCACACTTGGGTGCAGACTTTGATAGTTCGGCGTTCAGAAATTCGAGGGACTCGGGAGCAAAACGGTCAGGCTCGTATGTGTTCCAGGGGTAGACTTCCCTCCGAACAAGCCCCCATTCCGGAAGAACGTTGACGTTGAAGTCGTCTCTGCGACATCTCCGACTCGCCACATGCTTGATGTATCCCATCGTTTGAAGGAGTTCGTCGTTCTCGGGAGCGATCAGCAGACCTCGGTCGCAAAACTCGTGCGCGCTTTTCAGGCATCCGCACAACAGAAGACTGAGGGCAAGAATCTGAAAGGCGCGAACAGAGGATAGTTTGGCTACATGAGCGACGAGGCTTGCTTGGTCTCTGGCCTCGTCTGTCAGATAGTCGCTTCCGAGCTTCGACAGAATGCCATGGTCCAGGACAATAGGTAGTGGGTCCAGAGGGCGGGATCCAAGAGCCTCGATAGCTTGCTCGTGATACTCAGAGCCCTCGTGGAGGACGTCGTCGGTCAAAAGAAGAGCTTTATAGGCATCGCCAGCGGCCAAGTCGGGGTAGCCCAATTCAGAGTGGACAACGGCACGTTCGAGGTAAGTGATCAAGTCGTATGGGTTATCGACCAAAGTCTCTGTGAGACGTCGGCGATGCTCGAGTAGACCTTCTGAGCGTCGAGTGTTTTCATCCTCCAAGGGCGACTCATTGCCCGTGGTAGTGGTGCTTGCTGTCGACATGGTGAAGAAAAGGAAGCTAGTAGCAAAGCGCTTGGGCAGCACTGTTCGGGGCTAGCATCCAACAAGGTGCAGGCAGGGCTGCTGATAAAAAGAAGGGAAACAAGGCAAAAGAAGGGAGATGCCGCCCAGGAATCGAGATCGAAATTGGATGCAAGTGACACTGACGTCAGTGAGGAGAATAACGATCCTGGTATTGCTGGGCTCAAGGTCCAAGTCGAGCGGACGTGTTGTGGTACCTTAATGGAACACCGTCTCGGGAACGGAACGGTGAGATGAACCTGAACCCTAGGAGGAAAAAGCCCGGCACACGGCTGCGCGCGGTTGTGTCTCGAGGTCTTTTTTTTTTTTTTTAATTGTTTTATTTTTTTCGACTGAGAGGGGGGTTTTTTTGGGCAAAGAGAACGGGGCAAGCCCACAACTGGTCAGACCACTTTATGGCAACCCTGCCCGGGCTGTATCCGTTGGAAGTCGTTGAATTACAGCGTAAAGAAAGAGCCCGGGGAAAACGGATTTGAAAAATGGGGGAAACGAGAGTAAGTAGATTTGAAGGGGGGGAAAGGGCCGATGAAGGAAAAGAGGCGAGAATGAGATGGCAGGACTGGAAGGAAGGAAGGCGTCCTTATTCGTCAATCAGACGGAAATGAAGGTGAGGCGATGGTGTTGGTCTGGCGGGTGATGGCGCGCCCTGATGCCTCTCTGGTTTTAGTCGTGCTTGATCCTGTGCTGCTCTTCTCTCTGATTCTCCTCGATTGGCGTTTGCTGCCTGTCTTGACAGTTGTAGCCGGAGGTGACTAGCCCGGTTTGTTTAGCTTGGTCCCAGTAAGACGGAGACCCTATTTTTGGTTGATGGCCGGTCCGTCCAAGTATGCCGTTTTTTAAAAGGGGGCAACAAGATGGAAATTAAACACAGACGCAAGTCGTCGTCGACCTTGACCTCGAAAGGGAAGGGGAAGAAATTTGCAACTCATCAATTGGATATTGGCCGCGGATTGGGGTCCGTTGGTGCGTGGTGACAAGTGGGGGGTTCTGGACTGGACCCTTGAAAACTGGAACTTCAGGGTCCTTCGCGTGGAGGGGTAAAACTGCCCTACCTGGTCTTTGTGACTTGCGGACAACCACTCCCAAGACCACAAGCGCATTCAACCCGGAACGTCTTGACGTTGAACCGCCGGGCGCAACGGCGTGACTGGCTGAGAGACCATCGCACACCCATGCTGCGTCCTCCAAGGGGGGGAAAGTTAGATGTACGGATAGGTTGCGACCCTTGATTTGCCTTGAAGTCCGTGGTCCATGGTTCCTGGTAAGATGACCCTTCGATGGACGGTTGAGACGGGGCAGTGGCAGTGAAAACATGGTTTCGTACCACTTGGCTTTGCAACTCAGCAACAAGGGGACTCGACCCTGTCAGCCTCACGTACCACGCGCTTGCCCGAGCTCTTCTCCCGTGGATACTGGGGATTGCGACTTGTCGCGAATTGGCTTGAGACCTGGGAACCCTCTTCAAGGAACCGCATGTCTAGTGACGTCAGTGTCTAGTCTCCCCGTTGCTTTCATCCCGTCATTTCCGTTTTGACTTTTTTGCCTTTTATGGGTTCTCGTTTCTTCCGCATGAACCTTTTTTTCCTCGTAACAATTCACATGCCGGCGCAATCCTATGCAGTACGGTATTCGTGCCTTGTTCGTACTGATACATTCGACAAGAAATAGACGCGGCCGATGGAGCATTTGACGCCCGTTGGGCCGATCAGATACCTTTTCTGTCCAGTTGCCTGCCTTTCTGTACGAAGTCTGGAAAGGGGCCTCCATTTTTTTACCGCAGTGCCGG